CGTTTGTCTTAAAGTTACGATTGTTTTCGTAAGAGGAACATATATATATCCCGCAGATACGAAAGGGTTAATCTCCTAACTTCGTCGAGAGGGGTTCTCTTTAGGATCTACAAGTGGCATTCTGTGTACGGAGAGAAAACGTTTGGTTAGACTAAGCAAATTCTAGTGAAATACACGAACGAATCAGGAACTGTGATTGAAATAACCATACTGAAACAATTATTTTTGTGTTTGGAACTGAAATATTTTATACTTGCCATTATTTTTACTTGAATCAAGTAAAATATATTTGTGAGAAAGCAAAACACATAAGCCGCGATTAAATTTTAAGGTTGCAGTTACCAAACATTTAGTCGATTCCATTTTCACTAAATTTTGGTCTGGTGTATCAAATTTTCGTTTCGGCAACAAAATCCTCTTTTCAGCGCAGAATCCTGTTCTTATTAATAAGATTTCTACAAGAAAAATAATTAAAAAATAATAGATATTTATTAAGTGAGTATCATTTATATATATTTACTTAAATCGAAATTCTTTTTATTTAAACCGAATAAACAATACTCAGTTTAAATAAAGAAAAATAAATATCTTAAATATTTTTTTCCTCAGTGTAGTTAACTTGGACAAAATGCTGGTAATATCAGTCGGAATTTTCTGATTTGTTCATATTTCACCAGAAATACATTAATTCAGCACAGAGAGCAGGATTTTGTTGTCGAAATGTTTGGCAATTGTTATCAAAATATTCAATTGCCACTATGCATGTTTTACTTCCTCAATAACATATTTACTTGACACAATAAGAACATAGTAACACTATCGCAAATCGTATGTGTCAGATATTTTCATTCTAAATACAATCACTCTTTCAATTGACCAAACTTTTTCCCGTGTGCGCTTTCTGTGTCATTTAAAGGCGCTGAATAGGATCTCAGTTTCCATGTATATCGAACATACACTGACCCGTCAAAATATATAAATGCAGGAAAGTTCAAGTCTAAAATAAGTGTAAAATTTTGACTCTCGGAGGAACGCATGAAAGGTTTTTAGTTACGATTTTCAGGTTATTACTAGGAGAGCTTTGTCCAATTAGCGTGCTCGATGCTGACGATAATAAATTATCCATTAAATTGTTCGCAAGTAACGATCTTCCTCTGCTGAAAACTTTTCAGCGCGACTGAACGTGAATTTTCGCGCGTCCCTTTGCGAATTTTCCGAATTACATCAAATACAAGTGCCTTTTGGTGCGCATCGCGCGCGCTCTCTGCTTGCGTGCGTTTTATAAAGATATAATTAATATCGCCAGCTCGCTCTCTCCCTCTCTCCCTCCTTCTCCAAACATGCGGTTAAATTTTGCGTTTGTGCTTGAAAACAAGTAATTAAATGCTGACTATCCTAAATATGCCGGCGCGATATATAAAATGCACGGATTTTCGAGAATGTCGCGACTCTCTGATCAGATCTACTATATGCGTAGGCGATTGTGCATTAATTTCGCAATGCTGCGGAATACAATGTGTACACATGCACGCGTGCCGATGCGCTGATGCTAATGACGTTGGCCGTTGATGCTGTGTTTATAAATCTCGCCCGGTGAATTTACGACACGGTAGAATTCCGCTTGCCGCACGAAGGTGGTCGGTCCATTTACATTGTATCGAGCTACCTGCTTTGCGCATTAAACTTCAGTGACCTAGTAGTGGCCACCAGGTCGTTCACCATAACCCACACCTCTCTCGGGTTATCGATGCATGCCGGCCAGGTAGTCCGTGTAAAAGCGCGATTATAGGAGGCACGTTATCCGCTCGCGCCATCCTCAGAAGCTGAGAAGCAGCCAGCCAGTCAGCTTGCCTGCCTGCCTCTCTGCTTTCCTCGTCGTCGTTGTGATTTTATAGCGCAAAATGTGTCGTAAGTGCCGGCTAATCAGCTTCGTCGATTTAGCGATAACACAAAGGCGCTGCTTATTTTTACCTCGCGGAAGTGCCTGTTAAAAACGACGTTTCTTCGCTTTCAGTGAAAGCAGATCTTAAGAGGAGCAAAAAGATCGTAAGATCCGGAGGGCGAGCGGCTGAGTCCGCGATAAACTTTTCGCGATAAATGTCGTTGCTTCGTTGTTGTTAGGAACAAAAGGATGTTTACAAAGAACTGAACTTTCAGGTATTCACAAGTTCTGTCAATGCGTGCATCTTCAAGTTACTAGCGTTACGAGCGACGCTTGAAACAATGAAGTCGCCAATGTCGAGTGATGGCGCGGCATCGCTCCTTAGAAAATTCGTTACAGACGTGCTATTGCGAGCGTATTAATTATTTATATCCCGCGTGTATAGTAAAGCGGGAGGGCAGGCCGTTGGTTTCTCGAGATTAATTATCACGATTGGCGGGGAGTAATTTCGCTTGCTAGATAACACATCGCGTCTCTCGATTAATCTTCTAATAATCCACGATGAAGACCGGAATATATTCCACCGGTGTATTTATAACGGGGAGATGTTTATCACACGAGGTGTGCATGAAAAATGGATCACAAGCGCAACGTTCGCGTACACAAGTAATTATCGCTTTATATTCATCGCCGTGTAGCGTAACATAGACTATTTAAAGAGTGAATCCCTCGCGGAGAATATGCGAGAACGAAGAAAAGAAAGTTTAGGTCAGCGCCAAAGAGCGCGGCCAAGTTTCGCCTCTTTTTCATGGGACTTTGTAAAACTCTGGATATTCCAATGAATAATACGTAGATTTGGAATTTATGCCAAGTAGATGACGAATGTAAAATCTCAATGTTATTCTCGTGATCGTTTGGGAGATCAATGATCCAAAAGGCTGTGTAATCTCAACAAACAACTATACTACTGAGATTACGGCCTTTTGAAATGTTTATCTCTCAAACGACTATATGAGAATAATATCGTGAGACTTTATATTCTTAATCTACTCGATATAAGCTTCACATCGGTGTATCATTAATTGGAATATACAAAAAAATGTAAAACAAAGGCGAAATATCTATGGACGCTCTCTTAGTCGTATTCTTTCTGAAAATAAACGAACCAGATAATTCCAGTTAAAATTATCAGAATTCTGCTCGAGTCAACAAGATTTCTGGTTATATTTCAGACATTCTTTGGTTCGCCAGAAATTTGGCGAATTTTTAATCCAATCGGACGTTTCCTTCCGTGCACTGAATTATCACGAAGTCGACGTACTCGTCCTCGACAATAATATCCTATTATCGTGGATTATTCCTCCCGTTGCGACTTCGGAGTATTGATAAAGAGGCGAATGACGATCGCGAGGAATTCGATTCGCCGAGTTATGATCCAGAATGACCGGGAGAGAGACGAAACTTCGGGGAAGAGATTTTTATGGGATCCGGTGTGATGCCAGGTACAACTATCACATAAAATCCATTTTCTCCCCTCGTGCCGCCATTATCAGGAATTATTCGGCGGAAATTGGGTGAACGAATCCGACGGCTTCGTACAAATTACATCCGCAGCGGGAGGGAAACGTAGGAGGATCCCGAGCGGATTACGGGATCGGCTTCCTTGAATTCTCAAGGAGAAGAAACGCCGCCGGGGGTTACCGCAGGTCGCGCGGATTCGGTTTGAATACGAATCACGCGTTTTTTCGCCACGCGCCGCCCGGCTACACCGGTGTTTTGCGACCGACACTTTCAATATTCACGAATGTATCGCTTCATTGAAACGCACGAACCTACCAATGCATAATGTTCCACTTTACTTGAACGTAAATAATTCAATATTATAGAGAAAGTATTATATTATTATATAATTATATTTATAATTATATAATTATAAATATAATTAAAAATATATAAATATAATTAAAAATATATTAAAATATATTAAAATATATTAAAATAATTAATAATATATAAATATAATTAAAAATATAATTATAAATATATTATTATATAATTATAATTATAATTATATTATATTATTATATAGTATATTTTGTATATCCACACATGGGAGAAAATATTATAGTTTCCTGTTTATATAAATTCTCTTCAACTTTACTTTGTTCCTAGTACTGTAGGCACAGATTGTCAATACACATAGAGAAATATCTGTTGCTAAGAAAAGTGATCACTCAGTTTACTTTCCTTCTTTTAAGAGATAGCTCAGTTTACTGTGCTTCTTATGACTTCAGCAAAACACATTTTCTTGATAATAGTTTCGAAATGTACTCATCAGAACTTGAAGGGAAAGTTCATTAGTATCAAGAAGAATTTATCCTCTTTACAAGAATATCGTAAAACTTTATCGAAGAAAAAGTTGGCTCGACTCTATATAAATGAGCACATTAAATTTCTGTTTTAATTTGATAGTCTTGATTGAAGTGCTGAACTTACTACGAATCAGAAGTCTTTAGATCAATTTAATGCTTACGATGAACTTGTGATAGATTTACACATATGTAAACTTATGAAATACTTGAAACAAGTAACACTCACTTGAATGCAATATGTATTTTTCTGTGTGTCTGTCTTGCTAAGGAACATAGTAAACTTTTGTTAGGAGGTAAGCTTAGGAGTGTACCCCTCAAATTTTTGCTAAAAACATAGCAAAATTTTTGATAATACACTTCAATTCCCAAAATATATATATTTGCCTCTCGGCGAAGCTAGTACGTGAAATAGACTCAAAAAAGCTTGACATAGGCTTCAGAGTATCAAAACAGGCGTTAAATTAAACACTGAGGTCAAAAGTAGAATCAACAAGTTGACATCAACAACCGCTTTCGTAATTTTGAGTGGCAACAGTTTCATAACCTCTTCGCGTGAAAATACTGCCACTTTTCACTCGAGTTTTCAGTGAAACTCGAAAAAAATGTCACGTATACCAAACATTTTAATACTATAATATACAGCGCGAATACAATTTCCAAAATAACTTTCCTCTCGCCCTTACACCTACACCATGCAACGTATACGACAATGTAAGCTGACGCGATCGCTATCCTTGATGTTGTAGGGTCTCGACAATGTGAGCTCGGCGACCCTCAGGCCCTTTAACTCGGACATCAACACGCCGAGGATCGACAGCTACAGGTTCTCCATGGCGAATCTCGAAGGTAAGCTTGTTCGTTCACTCGGGTTTATCGACCCTACCCTCTATCCGGAAAAGATCGTCCGATCTGTCGCTTATCCTCACGTGCCCGAATCGAGATGCATGCGCTGCTCCCATCGAACGGAACGAAAAGTCGCTTTGAAGGACGTGTGTCGAGGCTCTCCACTCGTCCGACTCGCCTGACGACTTTTCCCCGATTTCCCGCTCGCTTTTTTCCCTACACGCTCCATTTTCCCCGCGCTTTTACGTCAAGTACAAATGATGGGGCCACGTCGTCCCCTCTCGATCGATCATCAGCGAAAGCCCGACGTCGGAGATCGCAAAAGGAGCGGTCCCGTCGTCCTGGCTATCCGCGTGACGGTTTTATCATTCCGCTTCGCTCGCTCGCTCGCTCTCTCTTTCTCTTTCTCTCCTCTTCTCTGTCTTTCTTTCTCCCCGATTTCGCAAAGAGACAGGAAACGATCGTCTCCTGCGATGCGTGAATCTTTAAACCGCTTCCCGCGTCTTTTGTGTCGGGATCTTACGCGGATTCGCCACGAGGAGAGCATTAATCGCGACGGCGAAGATCGATCGCGAGTCGGCTAACGAGACGCGATAACGTTTATCTCTGTCGCAAAAATTTATTTCGGCCATTTATTTCCGGTTTAGGCGACCGCTGCTGGTCCGACTTCGCGTCTCCCGTCCTGCGGCACGAAAGCGTCGGCTTTAATACTTCGGCTTTCTCGTGCTTTATGAAGTTATCCGCCGCCGCGCGCCTCTAAGTCGTTTTCAGCCTTCATAACGAGTTTCACCCGGCCCTCGCGTCTATTTGGGAAACGCGCGAATGTCATTCCATTTAATCTATACTCGAGCACGCTAATACGACACTGAGAAAAAAGCCGAGGTTTATGCGAAACTTCGTTAATTATGCAAGTAACGAACAAACATTTTTTCGGTGGATAACAAGAATACATCCAAAAATATGTAATCTTATTCTTAGCAGAATAACTCTTATCACATTTCCTGGGAAAAGAATTCTAGTTGTAAGATGCTATTTCCTGTAATCTCGTTCTAAACGAAAACTCTCATCAAAAGAGTATTTCTTTTTCCTCAAATGAAATGGAATCATTAGTCAGAAATACACTGCATATTATTCTCTAACTTCTTCCCTTTTTCGGAATATGTTTACTTGAGGCAGAATGCCTCTCTTTTATTAGAAGAAATTTCTATCAAGAACAAGATTTGTACTGCAGATAAAAGACGAATTCCTTCTAACTTTAAGAACATTGTGCTCAGGAGATTTTACTTTTGATTTCAGAAGAGGACACATATAAAAAGATTACAGATAAGATAAGATTAAATCTAAAATCTAGATTAAAGATAAGATTACATCTTTCTTAGGCGAACATATTTACTACCTAAACTTATTAGGACCTTAACTTAGTTTCCG